AAACCATTTTTAATTCTTTTGAGGCAAACCTGACATCGAAAAACGCGTTTTCAAAGTTACCTTCTGCAGTAAAATCACAGTTGACCCGCATTTGAAAAAGTGGACCCAAGAGGCCTATGGGTAGATATTTTCTGTGTTCGCTACTGCAAATTTTTCAGCATGTATATTTTAATGGGTAGTTAGGGGAAATCAATAACCTATCAAAAGTGATCTATCAATAAATAATATCAAGTGTGAAAATATACTGCCCGCGGAGACCTTCATAAAACATTGATGGCATCGATTTTTATGGCGCGTCGCTTCTAGTTTTCATTTTGTATCCTAGCAGGAGGTGAGTTTACGGTTTAGATAACTGTTTACCGTCCGTTTGGAGCCGATTTGTTTATTTGCACAGAGTACGCTTTTACAAAATGTTTCTTTAAATTTAGAACTTTACACAAACACCACAAGCATTTTCAGTCTGCAGAGGGCGGACAGCTTCTTATTGACCAGTCGGCAGCATTATTGGTAACTTGAATCGTTCAGCAAGGATTGTTTTACTGTTGGAAACGTAAAAACAGAATCTACAATCTACACAAAATTGTTTATTTACTAGTTACAATAAAAAAATTGAGCAGATTTCAGCGATGTTTTAAACTTGATTATGATCAAGATTCCTAAATTTGTTTATTGTATTTATGACGCAATCAATTGAACGAGCGATGATTGGTAATATTTACAATGGAAATTCTTAGAAGGAACCTTACCTTTCCGCTTTACCATTCAAAACCTACTTGCTTCTCGATTTATTCTATCCCCCATGATTGTCTATAACCGATGATAACAACGAATTCAGACAGGTATAAGAAGGCAAACCTACGATGTGTTTGTATTCAAAATCTCAGTCTGTACAAGTAGAGACTTGACGCAAGTTATTTTTTTTACAGTTCTGTCATAAACTTGTATTTTCAGTGTTACTTATTGAATTTTTTTTATATCGAAGCAGCCGCGCAGGCAGAAGCCTAAATACCGGATCACCGCGGCTGCTATGATGATCCCAAAGAAATGTTAATACGATTTTTCACATGTCTAAGATTAGTAGAACTGGGAAAAGCTTCCTCTTGTAAATTGTCCCTCGGGACAAAGAAGCGGTCGTATCGCCCAGTTCTGGACGTACGAAGCTCTACACGGTTGGACGGAAGGCCAAAGTCAGGCGGGTCTGTCGAGCAGGCACATCGCGCGACGGCATCATGGAAGAGAGCTCCGAGGAGCAAAGCCCGTTGGTGTAGCGGTAGAAAACAACTAGATCGCCGACGGTCCGCCAGTGCGAAAAAGTACCGAGACTGTCTGTTAGATAAGAGTCATCGATCACTCGGACCGCGCTCCTCTAGACAGCATCGAGCATGGATAATGTAGTCGGGGCAGCAGCACCCCAAACGTGTGAGCAATACTCGAGGCTAGGCCTTATCTGGGCCTTGTATAGAGTGAGAAGGTCATGAGGAGAAAAGTATTTCTTAGCCCTAAACAAATAGCCTAGCTTTTTCCCATCAGCTGCAGCTATTGACGAGATGTGTTCGTTCCAGATCAGGTTCTCGGTGATCTGGACTCCGACCAGCCGAAATGAATGGCTCTTTTCAGAACTTGGCCATCCATCGAAACCGGATGAGCGCTAGGACGCTTTTTGTTGTCAAAGTTCAGTACTGTGTTTTGGAAGCATTGAACTGTACAAGATTGTTGCGTTCCCAAGCAGTGATAGCCTCCAGGTCTCTTGCCAGAGAGGATGTAGTCGCTAGCCTTCTTTTTTCCAGCTCAGCGGCAGAGATCGGCTTGTCACTGAATTCCTGCATGTAGAGTGCTGTCACCAGCGAAGCTGTGGATTGGGTTGATCGTGCAGGAAAGGAGGTCGATGATATGTAAGAGAAACAGTGTCGGAGCCAAGACTGATCCCTGGAGAATATCCGCGCGTTGACGTTGTGTGATGAAGAGGAGAACCCATCAATTACGACGAATATCTTGCGGCCAGAGATAAAGTCAGTCACCCATCTGCAAAGCTTTTCTGGGAGGCCATAGGATGGAAGTTTGCTTAAGAGGGCAGCGTGCCACAGCTGATTGAACGCTGTCGTGATGTCAAGAGCAACGACATCGGCGTCACCATAAGACTGGATGAGTTTACACCACAATTGCGTGACGTAAGCTAGGAGGTCCCCTGTAGATCGTTGGTGCCGGAAACCATACTACCTTTCGCTAATCAAGCTGTGATGTTCGAGGTAGTCCAGAAGCTCGCGATTTATGCACCTTCTTATCACCTTACTTATAACAGAAAGCAGAGCTACAGGCCTGTAGTTGTAAGGGTCGATCTTAGTTTTTTTTTGGGATGGGTTGGACATGAGCAAATGTCCAGTTTTCTGGGAAGGTGCCGGAATCGTAAGATATCTGGAAGAGATGCGAAAGAACTGGAGCAAGCTCCGCTCCGCACCTCTTCAGTACAATGATAGGAATCAAGTCCGGACCACAAGCTTTGTTGATGTCGAGCGACAAGAGCACTCGTCTTACGATCTTATGCCTTATACCTCCCGCATAGTGTAGGGAACCCTTTGAATTGTCGGCACTTGGGCATTGGGGGGGACGTCCATGGTGGAGTTGGCAGCAAAGATCTTAGCTAGCACTTCCGCCTTGGCCTTTGAGTCGAATACAATCGTTCCATCCTGACACGTAACAGACAGCCGACGCATCCGCGTCAGTGAAACAGACATATCTCCAAGGAAAGATAGAGAAGTCTCTGAGCCTCTCCCAGTCGACATGTCCTTAATGCCGAGTTTTGCAGCCTGGGGACAGGACAGCAGTGCTAGAAGAGACAAGAGACAGGATGCGTCGTCAGAAAGAGATCCAGCAGGCTACTGGCATATGACGAGACGCGGGGGGTAAAAGTAGGGCTCGTCACGAGCTGGGTCAGCCCTTGCGTAAGATCGAACGCTTCGACTGCATCGGTCTTGTTTGAGCCCAACCAAAGCTCATTATGGGCATTGAAATCACCGAGAAGAACTACCTCAGGAGGGGTGATTGATATTCAGGAAGTCGATCTTGACGGCGAGGGATTCCAGTAGGTCATCCCAGTTATGAACCGAGGGAGAGCGATAGAGGCAGCAAATAAATTTGGGCGATGTTTTGCAGTTGAGGCGTAGCCATAGAATGTCCTTCCGGTTGGATTCCAAAGAAAGATCTCTGGAGCAGGAAAGACTGCTGCGGGCAAAAGCCACAACTCCCCCGTTCTTTCTCAGATTGGAGTGCACCTCGTAGTTTGGGAAGTTAAGATGGTTAATTGGTGCGAGTGTTTGAAAATAATAGTGGTGTTAGACGATTTTTGGACATGATACTTCTTGCAAATAGCATCACAAGTCTAATGAAGCTAGATCTTGGCACCGGTAAGTATTGTTTTTTTATACGCCAGCTGCCACGAAGGCCTGCCTAAACACCAATGGGATACCGTGAGGAATACAGTGGAAAGGGGGGAACGCCACACGGACTCTCAACATGCACACATTCTGGGCCCGCCTACGAGATCCACCGGGTGGTATATCTGCGTTCGATAGTCAGAGAGCCACCTATTATGTTGATACAACGTTGTCACTACAATTGCAGGAACGACTGGCCATACGACCCTAAAGGCCTTCAGTGATATTTATTTGTACAGCCGATGAAACGTATTTTGTATTTTAATGCAAATAATCACGAAATTCGAAAAGGCATGAAAATCTATTTCCAAATCTAGTTGTAATGGCAAGAGACTTTTTATCGAAACCTGCGACTATTGTAAGGCAGTTTCCTAGGGAGGAACGCACAAACAGATTAAGCGATAATCGGTTAGGACCTTCATGTGTCTTAACTCGTAGTTTAACGAATGAAAAGCTGATCCAGAATTTATCATTTTTTGTATGAGCTAATGAAGTAACGTTTTTTTTGCTTTTTTTTATTTGAGTTTACGGATTTGTCATTCTTTTATTATACGATGAACACAATATTTTCTTCAATATGTATTGTTTTCTCTGTAACATGTTATAAAATCTTTCTGTAGCGTATTTATATTCTACTCTTATTTATATTACAAAAATTATCGTGTGATACCAAGACTACCTACTTGAATTTTCAAGTACTTAAGGTAAATACTACTTGACTTAATTTACATTGCTAATATCTAATACTTGACTCGAGCTTGACTCGGCTTCAAGTCAAGCTCAAGTACCTGGAAAATCAAGTCAAGTAGCGAATCCCTAGACAGCATATAGCGGACAAATATATTTATATATACTTTATTCAAATTTCTGTCTATAGTATACTTGATGCTGTACATTGAAAGGAATTCAAATGGTCCTATTCTGAACAGCTCGATGTAAAGAGAGTATAATGGGTGCAGACATGTGAGCACTATTCCAATAGACGTCAATAAACGTTTACTTTCACAGTATACGAGTATGCTCACAGTTTTACATATTAATTATATTTTAAGCCCAGCCTCCTCTACTTTTATTAATCACGGAAGTTAATGAGTATGCGGCAACCTGTCATTAATAGTGAGTGTAATTAAAATCATGGTACATTATTGTATGTTACAGGCTTTATGAGAAATATGTTAATGCATTTCACGTAAAATGAGTTCAATTTCAAAATTAGAATGTTGAATAAAAATTGATGCCATAAAATATGAGTCGCAAGAGATGCTTTCTATAGCCCCCATCACTGAGTGAAACGTTTAGAATATTGTGTAAACTTCGATTTTAAAATCCATCTTGCCGACAGACAAACTGGTCTTACACTAACAAGAGAAAAGAAGGAAATGCAATAATCAATAATAACAATATCAAATAATGCAATCAAAAATAAAGTAATACGAGGGATGTCATTTAAGTTTTGAATATGGAAATAAAACAACACGGTAGGTAGTTTTAAATGACTTTTTCGAAGTATTCTCCACGAAGATTAATACACATCTGCATGCGCTCGAACCAATTTTTGAATGCGTCAACTGCTTCTTCTGGTGACTGGAACCTTTGACCACGCAGTCTGTTTTTAATTTTCGGGAAAGTAAAGAAATCGTTAGGACTTAGATCGGGGCTATATGGGAGATGGTCCAATAATTCCACGTTTCCTTCCGTTAAATACTGCCTTGTTTTTTGGGCTGTGTGCGAGCTTGCATTGTCTTGGTGGAGGATGATTCTTCTTTTGGGGTTGATTTTTCGAAGCTCGGTGATAACTTTTGGCAAACAAATGGTGGTATACCAATCCGCAGTAACAGTTCCTTGCTCATTAAGAGGAATTGTAGCAATATGACCCGCTTTTGACACAAATGTCGCGACCATCTTTTTCGAAACACTTCGAGAACGGATGACTTTTGTTGACTTTTCTTCACCTTGGAACACCCAAACAGCCGACTGTCGTTTATTTTCTGGTTCATAACAGTAAATCCACGATTCATCACCACTAACAATGCTGTGCACATTTTTTGAGTTTCCGGAATTGAAACGGTCAAGCGTTTTTTGACACCAATTAACCCTGGCTGCTTTCTGCTCTTCAGTCAACAGGTGGGGTATCCAACGAGAAACTAATTTTCTTACTCCTAATTCTTCATGTAAATTTTTTTGAATTGAGGTCTTTGAGATCTTCAAGGACGCCTCAATCTCGCGATATGTCACATGTCTATCTTCAATGATGAGTTTGCGCATAGCATCGACGTTTTCCTAGATGACTGCCGTTTTTGGTGCACCCACCCTGGGATAGTCGCTAAGACTCACCCGTCCACGTTTGAATTCTCCATACCAACGGGAAATTGTCGACTGATGTGGCGCTTCGTTGCCGAAAACAGACAGTAACTCAGCAAGGCATTCTTGTTGCGATAATTGTCTCTGAAAGTTGTAATAAATTATGGCGCGAAAATGTTCTCGGTTGCGTTCCATTTTTCTAATGACTTGGTGGCACTTAAAAATTCACTATAGTGAGAACACTGCATGTATTGTTGTGAAACTTTGAATTTAAGTTTACTAAAGAGTGAGGTTCAGTGAGATTCAGTACTGACTTTCGATCCGCGCGGCCTCCTATGTTTCTGTATGCAAAACCTAAAAGACATCCCTCGTAGTCTGTTCAAAAGTTTCAATAAAAGTCTGTTCAAAAGATTTAACAAATCATTTGGCTCTGTGTACCTGTGTATCTAAAATGATAAGCACTAACGGTTTTTTTTGTAAACCTTTTTTTTATAAACAAGAGGAATGGTGGTCTGATTCCTTTTTCCTTTGTTTTAATTAATTAATAATACACGATAACTCATTTTCGAAATTTTCGCGATTACAATACTTCCTCCATCCAGAGCCCGTTTAATTTGTCAACTTCCACCTTTCGAAAATAAGAAAAAAAAATAAAGGTGACACCTGCTACTTATGAGTACTTTTCCACTCAGGTACTGCCGACCCCTACGTACAGTATCGAAAAACTAAACACAAGTTTCCCGGCACCTCGGAATGCCAAAGTTCTTTTCTAAGCAGCCAGACAAGCTCGTCCATTACTCCTGCGTCCCCGCCCCGCCAGCATGGACGTACTATGCAAAATTTGTAAAGTCAAGTCAAGTCATCGTTGGTTGTCAGAGCGGTCCGTGGGACCTTAGCTCTTGAGTCACAGTGTCAGTTTGTAAGTCTGTCAGGTCTGGTAACCAGACAATTTTAAGGAAAAAAGGGAAGGAAAGGAGAGAAGGAAGAACGAGAGCAAAGGGGAAGAAGATAATCTTTTAGGATAAGCAGCGTTTAGGCATTGTTAAAATCACTTCACAGATTTTGAAATGGTCTAAAAATATTTTATTTTTTTTCCAAAGATTTTGTCAAAATGCTCCAATTTTGGCTGTTCTAAGTTCACGAATTAATTTTGATTACAGTGCTAGTCGCCGCCTTTTGTGCTTGCGAACTTGCTCGACTGTGTGGTCCACTGACTCACGCGACAGAGGGTTGCTGTGCGATTCCGCTAGGCTATAGAGCCGCTGCGCCTGTTACCTAATGTAGTCGTTTCGTTTAGGTAAGGGACATCGAGGTCTCTATGTAGAGTTTCGTTAGAGACATACCATGGGGCGTCAGCAATATTGCGCAACGTCCTGCTTTGCAGAACCTGCAGCTTTCGCATGTGTGTTTTAGCAATAAAACACCAAGTCGCACTAGCGTAAGTCCTTGCTGGTCTTATGACCACCTTATAGAGTCGAATCTTGTTAATCAAACTTAATTTTGAACGTTTACATAATAATGGGTAAAGTTGTCGAAACGTAATTTGGAATTTAGTTTTTAGCGCTTCTATATGGTTTCGCCAAGTCATCCCTTTGTCCAGAATGACACCGAGATACTTAGCGGAGGATTCCCATGGTATACGAAGTCCATTCATTGAAACTTCAGACGGAACGCCGCGACGTCTTTTTGTAGAGTAGATTGGCTGCGTTTTCGAATGGTTAATTTTGATTAGCCACCGATCCGCCCAATCTAATACTTCCTCCACCGCACTTTGCAGCCTGTCATGGACTAGGTCACCAGACCACGACTGAGCCACCAATGCAGTATCGTCAGCATAGAGATAGACTTCACAGTTGCTGGGGCTAGGGACGTCATGGATGTACAGTAAAGGATAGGTCCATGGACCGAACCCTGATGGACGCCGGCTGTAATCAGCCGTCTTGTCGACAGGACAGCAAAAGTTGTATGGATGGGATCTGTTTGCTTTCCGTCTCTGCGACAATAGCCTACCGCATACAACCTTGTTTTATAGTGTTGCTTGTAAGGCATATGATTTGGATTCGAATTTCGATTTAGAAGAATCAGATCCACCTCGATTCAGAGATATGATACTAAATGCATATTTAGTGTCACAATTTCAGATACGAGGTCTGTAAATTGAGTTATGAGACTGATTTTTTTTTCTTGATTCAAATATAGTTACAATTTTATATTGTTACCCCCAAAATAACTTATTCTGAGGCGACACAGCGCTGGGGACGGTTCTTCCACTCCTCATAGCAGTGCTGGAACTCCGGAATAGCCTTCAGCTGATCGGTTACAGCGGATTGAATGTTTTCGACTGTCCCAAAGCGAGTTTCCTCCAGATGATTTTTCAACTTCGGAAAAAGAAAAAAGTTATAAGGACTCAAGTTAGGCGAATAAGGAGGCTGAGGAGCCACAGGAAAGTTTTTGCTAGCTAAAAACTCGTTTATTGGCATTGCTCTGTGACAAGAAGCATTATCGTGATGCAACACCCACTTGTTCTTAATCTAATGAACGGTGGTGTGAGTCAAATATAACTCTTCCCTGATCATTCTGTCAACCGACGATCTGAACGCACAAGATCCCGGATTCGATATTTTCATCGGTTCTTGAAGATGAAGGCCTTCCGCTTCGCGGTTCAACTTCAATCGACTATCTCGCTTCTGAAAATGCATTAAACCACTGAAAAACCTGGGCTCTTGACAAAACGTAGGCCTGCTTAGCAAGAGTTTCCGTTGCGCTGTACCCAAGGCTGAAGCAAAACCTGATAGCGCGTTCAAACTTTTACTGAAGACAAATCACATGTTCACATGTCTCCCCTGCAAGCCCCGCGCCTCCCGTACGAGTATTGCCAGATCGAACGCTACGTTGCCAGTCTCATCGCTTAATTTACAGACCTCGTAATACCTCGCCCAATTTGAAATGCGTTTTCTATATCAGCAAAAGCCAAGATATGGAATTGTGTCTTTTACGTCTTCTAGGCACATACAACGGGTTGGCGGAATGTTTTGCGTATGAAGACACAGTTACTCAGTCCATGTCGAATAAAATAGTGGCGCAAATAATCATGTACGGTAAGCTCCAGTTTTTGACTGTGAGGTTGACGTTACCGACCCCTCCAAATGACCAGCCCTATACCGTACTGATGATTGCTTAAAAGCATAAAACAAGCTGTATACGATTTGTTATGGTCGCAGAGACAGATATCAAACAGACATTATCTAAGATGTATCAAGGTCAAGGCCTTGCTACACTTACACATGAGCAAACTCCTCTTCAGCAGCCCTTTTCTCTTCCCGGACGACAATCGCTGTCTGATGGCATTGTCGTGGTGGATCTGCGTGACTAGCTGATATGAAAGGCGCTCGAAAAGAAGGAACAATGGCAGTAGCCGAAAGAAAGATAACGGAAAAAACGGCAAACGCCGCGACTCGCAATGTGGGGCAAGGACTTTGCATGGTGAGAAGGAGGTTCCGGGGAAAGGGAGGTATAGATTGATTGTGGATGACGACCTTATACGGGCCTCATTAAATTAGAAAGGGATCAGTCAGCATGTTCGGCTGATAATAACAGTAAATGACTTCGGCATAGACAGTTTCGGCAGTTGTAATTATGAACGGAGAAAAAGGATAAAATTCTTGGAAATTGATCGATGGTTAAAAGGACAAAAAGCACTTTACTAACATCAGCAATAGCCATGAATGGTACACCAATTGATATCCCTACCCTACTTCTCTACTCAAAAAGTTGGTTTCAATAAAATTCTTGAAATAAATGCTTATGAGATTTTAATTTTCAGTCCAAAACGCGTTATGTATAGATGTTGGGAGAGTTTTAGTAGGTATATATATATATATATATATATATGCGAACGACCGCTGGAGAACGGCGTAAAGTAAGTTGACTTTCCACGTAACTACATGGTGTCCTGAAAGTTGAGACGTTCCTTTTTAGATGTAATACCAAAGCTAATTTGCAGCAAAATAGCACCGAAAACGTAAAATAGAAATTGAAGAAAAATACTCATTTGGTAAAGAATTTCAAGTCCTCCGCTGCCAAATGTATTGTTTGTCAACACTGCTTGAAGTTGTCGATGTCTGATTCAAAAACACGAGTTTGTTCAAACTTTCCCCAATTTGTAACATGTGGGGCTGTCTAAGTTTTCAACAATGCCCAGAAGGCTTTTGCACGATATAAATAAACATATGCAGCTCTGATGCGCGGAGTATCAATAGGGTTTTGAAGATGCTCATATCAAAACGATAACTACGTTATTGCTCTAGGAGTGTGCCAATTTTTGTTTTTCAAATGCGATTTATTTATAAAGTAGGTTAAC